CTCTCTCTCTCTCTCTCTCTCTCTCTCTCTCTCTCTCTCTCTCTCTCTCTCTCTCTCTCTCTCTCTCTCTCTCCCTGTATACACACAAACACACACACACAAAAAAATAAAAATAAAAAAATTGAGCGCATCACTAACTAATTGGGCATGGCGCATGGCGCACACGCACCGCACATCACACCGCAGAAGTGCGCCGTAAGTATGGATATAATGGATCTATTGTGCCCCATGTTGCTTGCTGCTATAGAGGTAAAATTGCCTTGTTTCCTTGTTGGATTGCCTAATCTCAAGTGCGCTTCATTGTCTGCAATAGAGGTGAAGGACCGTAAAGCTGCTTTGATTTTGGGTCTACTTATCTGGGTGGAAAGGGGCTGTCGTGTTGAAAATCTAAAATACACACACACACACACACACGCATGCAACACACACACACACATGCAACACACACACACACATGCAACACACACACACACACTGTCACACACACACACACACTGTCACACACACACACACACACACACACACACACACACAGAGTCAGGGTGACCGTTCCTCGCTGTCCGTCAGGGTGACCCTTCCTCGCTGTGTCTCACTGTTCATCATCCTGCCGTGCTGCTTGCCTTGCCGTTAGGCTTCCCACCCACTTCCCCCATGCCCTCCGGCCTACCGTCTTCACCCGAAAAGAACGCCGGGGGATTATAGCTGTATTCAGGGTGATTTTCAGTTGGTAATGACCAGGCGTTCTATTCAGGTGAAGAGGGTAGGTGCTTTGCTGTTGCTTGCTGTTCGGTCTCTTCTCGCCTCTCGCCCTTGCCTTGCTGCTTGCGCTCTCACCTGTTGGCCATCTACTTACAGCAGGGGAGATAAAAAAACACCAACATAATCTTTATGGGAATGCCGCAGACTGTCGAGGGAGGGTTCAGCCCACTGACGAGTCTGTGCAAGTCCAACAAAACAGGCTGGTCTGTCATGATCCTTGTTCTTCTTTATTGCCTTTTTTTTTCATCTGTTTCCGATCTGGTTTTCTGATGATGCTATTTCAGACCTCGGCTCAATGCACCACCAATTATCGATATATAATATTTTCCATGCTTGTGTGACACCGCTCAACCGGTCACACAGCATGCAGCATCGCAAGCGCAGTGCCTTGCAAGTGTATCCCGACCACACCCGCAGGCCGAGATGCGTAGATCAGGGTTTAAGGCTGTGATGGACTACCGTCTCCACCCGCACAGTCATTATAACTGTATTTGGGGCACTTTCAGTCTAGATACAGAGAAAATGATAGGGCGTCCTACTAGGGTGAAGCTGATAGTCCAGACTGTCGACAGGTGGTGCCCAAAGGTAGCCCTTGAGAAACGCGATCCACTTCACTCCCACCCACCCTGCCATCCTACGAGACTGTCGAGTCCGATCCCCCTGACAATGAGAATAGTACGCCGTGGGCAAAATGACAAGAGTCCCAAACCCCYCCCAGGTAAAAAAAAAAAAAAAAAAGTCAAGAAAAAATATTCAAAATTTCAGAAAAAGTTCAAAAAAAGGAGGAAAAAGCAAAAAAAAAAAAAAAAAAAAAAAAACTTAAAAAAAGCCCTCATATTCTGTGACTGCTGCTCACACGAGTCTGTGTGGCAGGCAATCAGGATGTTAAGTCCGGATCTGGACATCCAGGTGGCAACCTCAACCTCGGCAAGCATGCAAGACATCCAGCTTGTTATCATCGCGTTTAACCAAGAGTCTTCTACAGAAGACAAGTGCTGTATATTTTTTTATTTTCTCATTTTTATTTTTGCCCGGAAGGTTTGTGACGGTTTTCCTTAAACCATCTGTGCCGATCTTCTCTTTTTTTTTTTTTTTTTTTTTTTTTTTTTTTTTTTTTTTTTTTTTTTTTTTTTAAACCCAGTGTGTTGTAGAGGCCGGTTACTAGGCACACTGTGATCGCCCGGAGCTGTCAGCCATGTTCGTCCTGAGGGAACGAGGCTACCTTCCCATCCCATCCTCACGTCAATACTCCTAGCGCACCCCCTATCTCTACTATCCTACCTTAGTGTGACCAGCATAGGACCATTGCCCCTACTTGGTATCAAGGGGACCTTGGACCGAACAGTATTGACAGGCACCAGGGCTAGCCATGACCCAGCCCTGGTGGAAGCAGAATCGAACGAGCCTCGTCGCATGGAAACTTCGGACGCTAGGCCCAAGCAATCTCCTACCACGCACAGAAGAAAAAAAAAAGAGGAACAGGTGTGGGCACAAAATTGCGTCTTTTTGGCTGGAACTGCCAGCCTTTTCCGTTTTGTAGGCCGACCGAGCTCCCAACTACCTATGTCAGGCTATGTGGCACACTATAACCGCCGGACAAAATAGCCGGGAAATGTAGTATGTACTGGTGGTTTAAAAGACGAGGAGGAAACAATGCGTCCAGTTTTCAGAGTTCGACCGCCCTTCTTCTGTCCTGGCCTACAAAAAAATTAGAACGTCTTAAGACAGTTCGATTACGTTCCATACGTCATCGCTGTGCCCCTCAGACCAAGAGCAAAATGTTATCTTGGAAAAAAAAAAAAAAAAAAAAAGAGCAACAGGTTGAGACTCGAGAGTCTTGAGACCATGGGAGTTGCGCCCACCTTCTGCTGCGAGGTTTCGCCGAGTTTTGCTTGCTTTGCTGCTCTCTCTGCCTGCTCCAGCAACATTTTTTCATGTCTCTCTTCCTCTGCCAGCTCAGCTTTGTGCCTCTTCGACTTCAATTTCTGCAAACCAGAACCACCACCACCACAACCACCACCACCACAAATGGACCTTCAGTTTCGACAAAAAAGAAATCCAAAAAATGAACAGTACATTTTAGAAAAGGTGGATGAAAAAACACGCTTCACACTGTTCACAGTGTTTTTCAGGTGAATTCGAACATAGATGAAATTTTAGAATCGTGGTAAAAAAAGCATAGCATCCGCAGATTCCGCAGTTTACAGACTTTCACCAAGTCGTTTAGCCCACGAGTAAACTTTTGTCCCCCCTCTCGATACCAACAGGGGTGCACTTTTTCTTTTTCAGCGGGTCCCTTGTTTTTTTTTCGGGATCAAAACCCCTCCAGGTTTTTCCTTGTGGTGACAAAAACTTTCCGTAAGGCTGGGGCCGTGTACTAGTGGTTTAAGCAGAGACAGCAGAAACCGTTACGCCAAGTGTGAGGTGGTCCTCCGGTCAAGCAGCCAAGTCCAAGGAAAGTCCGCAAACTTCCGGAAGCAACAGATATAGGAAAAAGGAACAACCCATAACCAAGTGAAAGAATCCAGAAGGCGGGTCAGCAAGCATAAAAGACTCACCTGAGGAAGATGGCACAACCTATTCACTGGGGAGTCCATCCCGAAGTGCTGCTGTGTTATTTGGAGATTCTCTGGAGTGTGCTGCTTGGACACATTGCAACCTTTGCCATTCTGTGATTCTGGCTGATAGTAGGCACCCATAGGAAAGCGCAGCGGAAGTGTGTGCGTGTGTGTGTGTGTGTGTGTGTGAGTGTGAGTGTGTGTGTGTGTGTGTGTGTGTGTGTGTGTGTGTGTGTGTGTGTGTGTGTGAGAGA